GCCGCGATTTCTGATATTATTTTTCTGCGAAAACTTCGTTGACCTTTGGAGACATCATTAATATAAATAATTTTTATGGCCGTTAAATAAGAAATGTTTCTTTCACAAGAAATGTATAAAATTACAGTACTAAACAGACGATAGGTCGCCTAACTCGCCGTAGCGTGACGCTAGACGGCGAAAAATATATATTTAATTATAATAAAGTTACAATAAATTAAGTTAATATATAATTATATATACAGTACCTAATTTATATATAATTAATATATAATTATATGTACAGTACCTAATTTATATATAATTTATATAATACTGTCCAGACGATAGAAATCTCTCCGTAGCGTGGCGCTACGGACGGCGGGTAAGTAGTTCGGCTGCCCGATGACGTTTTACGTATTATAGGAGTTATTTTTACCGTTGTTTACAGATAATGCCACAATTTTTATAGGAATCATAACTATAGGAAACGCTTTTATAGGGGGATCTACTGTATTATTAAAAATGCATTAATAAATAAAATACAGAACCGGGAATGGTAATTTATGGTTTAGCCTAGTGACGAGCAGATTGGGAGACGAGTAAATTCGACTTACGTCGCTTCTCCTGGAACCGATTACCGACGTAAGGCCAGGTATACCCGTGTATTGTTTCGTTTAACTTTCCGTACAGATACGCCGTTTCTATGTCTAGGTGGTTTACGTCGTAGTCGTGTATTGCGGCGTATATCAAAAGTCCTCTTAGGCTGTCGGCTTTTATAACAGATGAGAACGTCTGGTGGAAGTCTATCCCTTATTTTTGGGAGCGACCCGCGGCTACTAGTCGGGTCGGGCGGTCGAGCTCGATGTTGTATACACATTTGCATTTTATGGGCTTTATTCCTCTGATAGGGTTACGGTTTCCCATACATTACGAGTCTTTAGCGATTGCGTCTCTTTTGCGCGGCTTCTATCCATTTGTCCTCGTTCGGTAGATTCATTGTTTCCTGGTAGTTGTTCGGAATTACGAGTCTGCTTTCTGATATCGGGACTCTGTTGTTAAGTCGATATGCGGGACCGTTTGTGTCTTCCGGTACGTCTTCTTCGACATCGTAGTAGAAATTGAAAGGTGGTCTAGGTCTTTTTCCTTCAATTGGAGAGTAGTTTCCTCTATAGGTTCATTTAGGTGGTAAACTGTCTCAATTTGGTTATCGGAATTTGTCACTTCCCTATCCTCTATATCGTGGGCTGTAGAAATCGAATCTGTCAACTGTCTCTCTATATCGACTAGAATGGCGTCGAATTTGCTTGTTTTTGAAGGTCTTTGCCTTTTTGATTTTCTAAGAATTTTACACCACGTGACTCAATTACGGCCGTAGTGGTGGGGTCAAATATTCGGTACGCCTTCTACGGAATGAGTATCCCGGGAAGATTCCTAGTTCCGCCTTTGAGTCGAGTTTACTTTTATTTTGGGAATCCAATAATATGCCTTATAGCCGAATACTTCGAAGTGTCCTATATCGGGTTTTCTTCCGGAGAACAATTCCTCGGAAGTCCTCTTCGCGTCGTTCCGGTTGCGTACTGTACATAAGCGAAGCGATTCGTTGCCTCAGCCCATAAGTTTTTGGCTGCTCCGCTTCTATCAGTAGCGCGGTAGTATCCCGCACACGAGTTCTATCGGCCTTTCTAAGGGAAACTGGCCAGTTTCCCTTAGAAAGACCTCCCGGAAGGCATCCCCCTTAGGCAGATCGCCCAAGTGTTGCGTTGCCGTAACTAAACAAACGATGGCCGAGGGGTTGGGTGATACGGAGTGGTCACGCGTTACGGTGTCCAGGGGAGTCGGACTTAATGATTTTTTTTAAATAAAACTCGTCTCTACCTCAAAACTAGGTTTTTTGCCACTTTATAATAATTAAAAATATATATAGAAACTTTTTACAACAAAATCTCGTAACAGATGGCGCCACGCACAATTTTAATTGTTTACAATGTTTTCTATAACCCATCCCTACTCTGTAAACTGAGCTATTTGCCGTTTTATAACAACTAAAAATATAAAATGTTTTTAATATCGTAACGGATGACGCCGCGGGCGCAGTTTTAAATGTTACCGGGAAAGTTAAGCGACTCGCGGGGGTTTTTTAGGCGGCGCGGCGTTCGGAGGTGGGCCACTCTACTTACCGGTAATTATCGGGTGTGAGGAAAAGGCCCACCATATTTTCCGCAGTTCTCGGCCTTTCTTTACGGTTACGATATAACCGGCTACCGGGAAGGCGTTACGTAAACGAATTTCTTTATAATTATACCTCGGTGGGTGACGGTTTTTGCCGCGGTAAACGTAGGTTACCGTTACTTATTTTACTAGTCAAACCGCGGCTATCGGGCCCTTTCGTCCTACGAAAATATATCCAAAATTATTTGAAACAGCTGTACGGCAGACTCCGAGTACCCGGGCCTTTTCTTTTCCTGTAACCGAATTGGCGTTTTCCTCTATAATTTGTGGCCGACCCGTCTGGCTTTCGTCACGAATGGCTTTAATTTTCCCCTTAATATCGTCTATTCGCAGTCGTTCACCTATTATCGAATGTTTGATTCCCCGACCCCGCACTACTTTTTACGCCGTGCGCTTCGTGGCTAGGGTTCACCTATTTAATCGGGACTACTTTCCGCTTTTACTCTCCGCAATTCGCCGTCGTCTTTACTCGTTTTTTACTATTCCTATTTGAATACCAGATAGGCTAATTACCGCCAGGAAAACGTCTCCGTAAAAGTCGGTAGATCGGAAGAGGAAAATCCCGGTCGGTTGGAACACGAATTTTACCGTACGACGAAGAAAAACCAAAACGCTTCGTACTTAGAAACCCCGACAGCCAGTTGCCTAACTTTAAAATCGTGCGTGGCGCCGTCCAAAGAATCGCCACCGCTAATAACCGGTAAAATGTACGTTAAGTCGGCGGATGCCACCCGCCATCCCCTTCGTCTTCCGACCGTCAAAATTTAATAGAGTCCGTGTCCCTAATAGGCAAACTTCCCGGCAAAATTTCTTAAATTTTCGACGGAAGGCGCGGGCCCGCACCGCCGGCATCCGTTTTTGCCTTTGTCGACGTTCGAACGTCTCCCAGTCCAAAAATGTAAAATTTCGGCTTTGGCCCGCCTCCGTTTTATATAACGTGCGGGAAAGTAAGAATGAATGGAATCCGTATTGGAAATCGAAATAGGACGACGAAATTTATTTACAATTTTAGACGAGAAAACGACCCCTTCGTTACCTATTTTTAGATCGGCACGAAGGAAAGTCGTCCTCCGTTCCTTCTCTATTCCTCGACGTTGGCTCTTATCGCATCGATAATCGAACTTGTTATTGTTTCGTTTCCCGACGAGAAAACGTTGGCCCGGCGTAAACGCACTCTCGTATTGGGTCAGTCCGATTATAGGTTGAGCATTCCGCAATGCGCGACGTGTGTTTTTTGTGTCAGTAACTTCCAATCAACCTAATTTTGCCGGAAAGAGAATTTTACGTGTCGTCGATCTTAATTGACTCTCTTTACCTGCCGTTTATCCAATTACGGCGTTGTTTTCTCCTCCGTCGGGTCCACGCCCTTTTAAACGCCCGCTTTGTTAAAATAATCACTCGGTCTTACGGTGACGTATTAAGAGTAAGCACACAACTTTCATCCACTTTATTTTTATGTAAATAAATATGGAAAGTTATCGCCACGAAATGGTTACAGAAGTTTTCCCTTTCTTCTCCGGTCAATTTTCGCGGTCGAGTAATTCTTTTGATTTTCGTGTTTTCAATAAGCTTTAATATCGAACATAATAAGGAAATTACAGCGTTTTATAACCTATTTATAAAATGAATGCCCCGAAACGTCCCTGGCGCAAACCGAATTTCGTCACAAAATATTCCTTTAGATTTTTCCATTCCAAACGTAAACCGACCGTCGTCGGTTGTGTTTTAATCGCCGATGACCCGGATGTGAATGCGTAACGATGTAAAATCCGTATACTGTAGATTGTCGGCCGCGGTGATTCGTTGTACGATGTTCCTGAGCTTCGGTCTTCGCCGTAATAACCAACAAATACGTATTATGGAGTCGATGGCTGGAATATCCGATGGTTTATCCTGAAAATTTAAATACGCGTGAAAATCGGTTTAAAGTTCTATCTACGCCGGTCGTTTCTTACCTACCTTTGGCGGTTAATATCCTCCGCCTCCTCCGCTTCCTCCGTATCCTCCTCCTCCCCCGCTTCCTCCGCCGCCGTAACCTCCTCCTCCGCTACTGCCACCTCCGCCTCCTCCACCGTATCCGCCGCCGCCGCCGCCTCCACCTTTTCCTCCTCCTCCGCCTCCTCCTCCTCCCGCGGTGGTCAGACGGATGCCGATAAGAGTGATTCCGCCCAAAGCGCCGCCGCCGCTACCACCACCTCCTCCTCCGTATCCGCCGCCTCCGCCGCTACTTTTTCCACCTCCTCCACCTCCGTATCCGCCACCTCCGCCGCTACTTTTTCCACCTCCTCCTCCTCCACCGCCGTAGCCTCCTCCGCCGCCTCCGCCGCCGTAGCCTCCTCCGCCCGCACTCTTCCCTCCGCCACCTCCGCTTCCGCCTCCGTATCCTCCGCCGCCGCCTCCTTTACCTCCTCCTCCTCCTCCCCCGTATCCTCCACCGCCTCCTCCGCCTCCCCCTCCAGTTTGGGCCAGGGCTAGAGTTACCGGAACGGCTAAGAGAATAGCCGTTCCTCCACCGCCTCCTCCTCCTCCTTTTCCTCCTCCCCCTCCCCCTCCGTAACCTCCTCCTCCTCCTCCACCGCTTCCTCCGTAGCCGCCGCCACCACTTCCGCCTCCACCGCCGTAGCCTCCGCTCATTCCTCCCCCGCCGTAGCCTCCGCTCATTCCTCCCCCTCCGTATCCTCCGCTCATTCCTCCCCCTCCGTATCCTCCACTCATTCCTCCCCCTCCGTATCCTCCGCTCATTCCTCCCCCTCCGTATCCTCCGCTCATTCCTCCTCCGCCGTAGCCTGCGCTCATTCCTCCCCCGCCGTAGCCTCCGCTCATTCCTCCCCCTCCGTAGCCTCCGCTCATTCCTCCTCCTCCACCGTAACCGGAAGCGGCGGCCAGAAGGTCCGACAATCTGGACCTTTTGCTACTCGTCGATACGACGAAAAGGGTTAGGACGACGAACACCTGCAAAAATCAAAGGGTGAAGACAACGAAAGGCAATGCGCCGTCCTCTTAAACAGCAAAAAGGAAGAGAAAGGAGGCGAGAAAAGCCTGGACGAAGACAGAGTAAAAGAGAAGCTTACCTTCCACCGAGTCATAACGTCACCGAGGAGTAAACGCGCTGGTCGATGCGTCGACATTCCTCTCGGTATATATACGAAGTTAGCGCGGCGCGACTCGGAAGGGGGGGAAACGGCGTCGACCAGTTAAAAAGCGGGACGAGCCAGATGCCCCGTCTTCCATCCACCATTCTACTTTATAGGTTATTGTTCGACATTTCCTTTTCCTCGGAGCGTCCCTCTTCCGAGGGGATCGGGGTCACCGGGGAGCACGCTGTGGGAAAAAGTGACGAAAGTCGATCCGAGCGGTGACACACATTCGAGTCTCGAACCCGGAAAAACCGAAGAAACCACCGACGCATCCGTCCGGATAATAGGGAGTTTCGTTTCGTTCTTTCGGCCCCGTGGCTGGTGTTTTTCCAAGAGGGTGGAAAAGTTGCAGAGAATTTCCCAAACTTTTACGCCAAAATGCAACTTTCCATTCCCACGGAGGCCGAGAGTCGCCGTCTGGCCATTCCGTAGGAAGTTAACGGGATCGAAAGGAAAAGAAGACGACGAAAAGCCGTCCGAGTGTCGTTTTTTTTGGAGGAGAAATAACTCCGAAAATACTTAAACTTAGCGTGGCGTCCGAGATCCGCGCCGCCATTTTAAGTACTGTCGTCCTTCCTTCCCGGGAATCGGCCCAGGACGGAGGAACCGTCCTGGACTTCCACTTCCGGATTTTCCCGGCTTAAGCGCCGAATTTAAATGGAAGCGAGGATTTTGGCCGGATCCTTTCGGTCGTCGTCTCTCGGGCATCGACCCGAACGCGGATCCCTTTGTTCGGCGCCAGAATTCGGGGGAAGATGGCAAAAGGGAAATAGGACAAGTAGCGTCCCGTCGAGCCCGGGTCGTCAACGCCGCTCTTCGCGTGTCTTCCGACAATTATCCCCGGACCGATTTCCTCCTTCCAACCGTCCCCCGTAACGACGCCAGATGGCGTCGAGTGGAAAGTTATTGTTACTCTCTCTTCTCGGCTCTTTAACCCGCGCTTCTCGACCCGGCTTCGACCTTTCCTTCCCTCTCGCCTAAATAGAACGTCGAGTTCCCGGCCTCTTCCCAAACGTCGTCTCTCGCCGTCCACCTTCCTCTTCTTGGAAAATTCCTTCCGCCGTCGGCAGTCGTCTTCTTCTACGGCCAAAGCGGACATTTCTCCCCGTAAACCCCGCTTAAAATCCGCCGCACCGCCTTTTGGTAGGACAATTTTCCCGTTTCTTTTTTTAGCAAACACTCGCCATCCTTTGGCATTACTGTTTTTGCCGAAACTAAAGCCGTCTGCCGGCCCGGTGCGCCTAATACATTTACTATTGTCGAATCCACCGGTGGAAAGTTTTCTTTTTACGACTTTCCCCGCCGTTATACGTAACGGAGGGAAACGATATCCCCAGAATTTTACATTTTTGCTCCCCGGGACCCGGAAACGTCGAGAATTGCAAAAAATTGAGAGTTTTTTTCGCGCGTATGGACGCTAGTGTGTGCGGGGGGCAGGATTTCGTTGGCCCGCTTAGAAACTCCGGTGACTTTTGTGGAAAACTTCCGAAAGTTGGCGGTTAAAACTCGGGGGGTGGGAGATAGACGATGGCGAAGTGGACTCGGAGTTAACGAAAATTTTATCAGTTATTACCATTTACAATTTTTATTATTTACTAGATGCGAGGACCCGCTTGGCTGGGCAAAAAGTAACGATAATTAAGATTAAGATAATTACATTATAGCTAATCTTACCCGTTTTCACACAATGCAAGAATTAGGTCCCCCGTTTCCAGACTAATTAGAGAATTTTTACGTTTAGTCAAACGAACTATTTTCAACGTTTCTGGAACGTTTACAATCGTTCTATAATCGAACCAATATTCGAATTTTATGTTCGAACAAAACATTCGAAATAGAAAGCCACTTTCAACCACTTTCAGCCCCATATCTCCC